AAGATGAGCTAACACAGTTTAGGTGAAAAAATGAAGTCTCTGTTAGTTATCTTGCCCTGTCCCTTGCAGAGCTTGATCTCCATGTTGCTTTAAAGGAGTCCAGAATCACATACTGGGCTTGTAGCAGCTTAGGAAATCTTTCTACTTTCCTTGCATTAGAAGTGCTGGGTACAAGTACAATGCTTGGTTCAGTCAGAAGTTTTCTTCATTTGCTGTTTAGGTTTTAAGGTTAAAAAATTACTCTCAAAACTCACAGAGGAAATGTTTCTATGATCAAGTTTTAGTTTCAAAGAGATCTCACTAAAAAAATAAGTCTCTGAGCTAAAGAGCAGCAACTGCAGTTGCATTGATGCAGCCTTAACCACACCAGTCACATTCTCTGTTATTCCTACCCCCAGAAAAAGAGCCCTTGGCTGATGATGATGTTGTCAGTATATTTTGTCTTTTGAAAGTTTCCCTGCATTCCCCCCTCTCTCTTTGAGTTTTCTATTCTTAATTTCTTTAACCTAAGCATTTTTTTCTCTCTTCTTCAGGGAGACAGATTTGAGTGAAACATGTGAACCCGAGAGATTGGAATAGGTTTAAAACTAGGTTAAAATAAGGTTTATTATTGACCCTCATTTTCTGTCTAACCAGGGGAGATAATCCTATTAGTTTATTGGAAGCTGTCAATGAATGCAGTGGCATATATCATATATCAGAGAAATAGGTCAGAAGGAGCTCCTGGATGTTTCTAGTCCAAGCTGACATAACAACGTTGGGAAATAGAAAACTTTACATAAACCAAAGAGTTTTCCCCAAATAAAACAGTCAGTCAGCCTGCTTTTAGCCACCTTGCAGTGTATTACAATAGGAGATGGATGACTGAACTGACTTTCTTGTTGAGGCTGTATATCTGTGTCCGTGGGATTCCTTAGGACCTGGAAGCAAGCACACCACACTTTCTCACATGAGACACACTGCCTAGGCAGGCAGGTGAGCAGAGCTGTGTGTGCCTGTGACAGACAAACTGTAGCACAGGGCACATTTCAGAATCTACAGAGAGAAGCTTCAGCCCTTCCATGCCACCTCATCAAAAAACAACATTTTGTGGCCTTCCAGTACCCAAAGGGAGCCTACAGGAAAGATCCAGAGAGACACCACAAGAGCATGTGATGACAGGACAAGGGGGAATGGCTCCAAAGTGACAGAGAGGAGATTTAGATTGGATATTAGGAAGAAATTCTTCCCTGGGAGGGTGGGGAGGCACAGGTTGCCCAGAGAAGCTGTGGCTGCCCCATCCCTGGGAGTGTTGAAGGCCAAGTTGGATGGGGCTCTGAGCAACCTGGGATAGTGGAAGGTCCATGGCAGACGGTTGGAATGAGATGATCTTTAAGGTCCCTTTCAACTCAGGCCATTGTATGATTCTATGATTTTCCGAACTTGAGGGTATCAGCAGCTCTCATCACAGATTGCAGCCACTCTCTCTTCCACAATACCTAAGAAAATTCAGACCCCTTAAAATGTCAGATACACTCTCTGTTCAGAAAACAAAACCTTTTAGGGACTGGTTCAGCTTTGACTGGGAGCTCTGCCAAGGATTTCAGCTGGAGGAGGAATGAGGCCCTTCATTTCAATTCCTCAGAGCAAGCACATTGCAGCAACTGCTTGTACACCCTGTGGTCGCAAACCCAGTGGGCTGTGCTTACCTCATTTGTTTCACGTAGGTGAACTTAGCCAGGATGTTTTCTTTAGTCGTGGGCAGTGTGACAAGAATGGGACATCCAAATAAGGTCACTCAGGATGTGTTTAACAACACCGGGTAAAGTCTGTGGCAAAGGCTTGTGCACACACACACACACACAGAGCATCCACTCTACATACCCTTGGCTTAGTGCGTCATTATTCCTAGAATAACTTCTGGAGAGGCACTCCACCCTTGTGCTTCCAACCCTGAAGATGTGATTGTCCCAGAGCCACTTGTTACAGTGATTTTAAGGAAGGGAAGGCAGAGGGAAGGGCCCCTGATTTCTGTGATCTCTTTTGAAGAGATGTGACGCAAAGAAAATTATTGAAGGCAGAGGCAGCTTCAAATCTGTCAACCCAAACTGCCTTGTGATCTTTGAAACTTCCTGAGGCCAGCACAGACACTCAGATAGCACAGAATTCTGTAAAAGGGCAAACCACACACCTGTTTAAATATAAGGCAATATGCTTTATTAAGCAAGAGTGCTACAGGTGCTCCTACGTGATGAAAGGTAGTCCAGCACTGCGAGAGAACGTGTGATTTTGCTCGTAGGAGAATCCCGGAAGGCTGAGTAGAAAACTCCTTTTTATTAACCTGCAAATTTCTGATGGTCCACAAACTACTTCCAGGGGGTCTGCAAAAAGTAACTGAGAGCAAGTCACTTGTAAGTCCTCTGCAGCTGATTTAAAGTGATAAGCAATGAAATTAAGGAGTTACTTCCCTTGCAGCAGCACAAGGGATGACACACAGTTGCTGAAATGGGGGTTTTACAGATCTGAGATGGTAAGTTCTGACTGAAAAATTAGCTAAAGCTGAAACACAAAGCAGTCAAAATGGGGGAAGGTCAGACCCCAAGCTACTGCCTTCTGTGCACAGTTTTGCATATAATTTGCAGTTAAATGAGCACACCAGCAAAGTATGAGCATCACAGGTGTTACAGCTGAGAACTGAGAAAAGCCATCTCAATTCATCAAACATTGCAGAACAATATAGAAACCTGAAAAACCAATATCACTATATGTGGTAAAAGTTGCAGAAATATTATTACTGATGCATCAGCATAACAATGCAAGACAAAAAAGGCTGCCATCACTTCTCTTAGACTAACAGGCATAGCTGGAGAAGTAAACAAGCTTTCATACACCTGCTTACTCCATCAACAGCTAAATGTGTAGGAGAAGATAAGTAAAATACCAACAGAAAGAATAAATGGATCAGCCAGAAATAAAAAAGAAATGTATTGTTAAAAAAATCCACACAAAACCCCAAACACATGCAGTGGGCATTTATAGGTTTAAAATAAAACAAACCAAAAGTCCACGAAAAAGCAAAATTTGCATTATCATCCTCACAAGCAGAGACTTGAATGAATTCACTTTAGCCCAGCAGCTTAAACAGAACTTAGGAAAGTCTGGAGTTTTGTTGACCCTGTGGGAAACTTTTGAAAGTGCCAAACAGTTTAAGCATGTAAAAGTAATCTTTACATCTTTGACATATATAAAAAAGAGAAACAGCTGCTCACAACTGACGTGTGTTTAAATGAGGTTTAATCAATTTTTTAAATATCTGAGAATGTTTCCTCTGCCACCAAGACACCGGAGGGAGATCAGATCAGTGCATGCTGGCAAGCCCAGGAAAGTGTCATGGTGAATATGAAATATCAAACCAGGAAAACAGCATCCACCAAAGAATCACAAAATATTCCAAGAGGACACACTATTCTCTAAGTACCTCTGGCAGAAGCTTTTACAATTGCTCCTGAATCCATACCCACATTTCCATGGGAGTCTAAATAAAGGGGGAAAAATAAAACCATGGAAAGCAAAACAACAAAAACCTCCAACACTTGTTTTAATATCAGAGTAAAAAGTATGGGTGGATAATTTCAACAATAAATAGAGATAACGCTTTTAAAAAGAGAAGAAAAAAATAACTCTCCTTTCCTTCACAGCTATCTTTTAAATTAAAACCTTTCAGATGTTATAACCAGTAAAATATCTGTAGCCTGGACAAGCTGTCAGGTTGTCAAGCTTTGTCAGGCTACTCAGCTTAAGACCTGACCCTTATACATTTTGGCTAAAAATTGCTGTCATTTACACAGGTGAACATACACTGATGCAAGCCTCTGGATTTACACAGGTGTGGCAGAAGAATTTGGCAGGCTTTTGCTAATTTTAAACAATTAAAAAAAAAAAGAGATTCACTTTTGCACTGGGTTACAGTCGTATCAATCCACTGATGTTATCAATCCATTATGTGCTGATGGCGCCGCTCCACAGCTTGTTAATGAAACTCAGGATTTTTCATGCTGTGTCCAACTAGAGACTGTAACCAAAACTAACACTGCTACAACTAAAATCCTTGGGTTTCATCAAAGAAAATTATTCATTTATTGTTTGGTGCTCCTCAGTTTTATATTAACTTTTGAAAGAAATCTTAACACAGTCTCGTTATAGAAGCTGTTACTCCTACGATTCCCCCGTGTGCAGTGTCCCTTTAGCACAGCATTTTCATACAATAAATAGAACCACATTTGTTTTTAAAGCAGATTTGTTTCTAAAGACACAGATCATTGGCAGGACAATTGAGAAGCAGGGCTTGTATCTTGGAACATTTTTTACACCACTATCCACTTATCACTTTTTAGCTTGGTCCCTTCCAATTCAGGATACTCTGTGTCCCTTTGCAGCTCCTCCAAGCTTGCCTGTTGTACCTGGAATACTAAAAATGGGCCAATATAAGTGATTTCAGGTTTGATTCAGACCCCATAACTACTGCCCAAGCAAACCTGTATGACTGTAAAACTGCCAGTCGGATGTGCAATGCAGGAACAAACATCCAGTTTTTAAGTGTTTTACACATAATTTTCAGCTGTTTGGCCAACTTCAGATATTTAGGTGGCTCAAAATAAAACCGGAAATATAAAAGGGAATAAAAGTTTATTTGAAGTGGGTTGTGTTCTCATATCAAGTCCCCTTTGCTTAAATGCAGTGACACAAATATCATCCCAACAGGCTTGGTGTGGAATTTACACCATAATTAAGGAGGGATCAGGCCCAGGGCAACCTAATACCACCTTTTCATATGTTTGCAACAAAATTTCAGCTCTATTCAATGTGTTTGCTAGATCAGAATGCAGTTTGGAAACTGAGGGGAGGTGGGAATCTGAATAAACATGCCTGCAAAAAAAGAAAGATAATTCAGGTCCGAAGGGTCATTCCCTTCAGTTCAAGTGCAGTGGATTGCCCTTCCTGGATCCAACAGTAGGGGCGTGGGAAGCTTTCAGATGTCACAGGGTTGTAGATAACATTTGAACATATGATTAGCTTTCGTGAGCTGTCTTTAGAAACCTTACATTTTTTCCCCCCCACACCTTAGCCAGAGATCCTTCCCTTGAGGTTTCGGGACACTTAAAATGTTGCTTTGCCAAAAATCAAGGATGTGGAGAAGGTTTTCCTGTGTGATGTCATTTTGCTGCCCTTTATAAGCCTCTGCAGAGAAGAAGGGAACCTATCTGAGGATCCACACTCCAGCACAAGGGCGAGCAAGGAGCGTGGAGGCGAATCCAGCTGCAGATCCCGACTGACCATGGAAAGGCGATCCATGGCACCCTGCAGCTCCCTGCTCCTGGTACTCTGCAGCCTGAAGGCTACCTTTGCCTTCCCCAACTCCTCTCCACTGCTGAATCCCAGCTGGGGGAATGGAGATGGCCTAATGCACCTCTACACGGACACAGAGAGGAACAGCTTCCACCTCCAAATCAATGCCGACGGCTACATCGATGGTGCCCCTCACCAAACCATCTACAGTGAGTAGCTTCCTATGGATCCTGAGCCTTCACGGGAGCAGGGGAGGGAGAACAACAGTTTTACTTTCTCACTACCTATAAAAAATCCCCTCTTCTCCTTAGGCAGGCAGACAAGCATGGGTACGGGATGGAAAACATGCGTAATTATAATCCTTCTTTTGTTTAAAAAATAAAATGACTCCGAAGAAATGTAGTGGATGGGGAATTTTAGTAAAGTCCTTTGCTTCCTCTGCAAGCAAAAACTACCTGAATTATCCTTCGCTTCATGATTTTACCCACAGCTTCTTGTGGGAGTTCCTATCAGAGGTTGGGGATGACATCCCCCAAAACAGCTGCTTCCCATTGCGGTGACAGTATTCCCAAAGGAACTGCACTGAAGGAACTCACCACACCAGTGCTGGAAAACTGATAGCAGCCCTAAAATCTGTGTTTTGGAGTAGAAGGCTGATAACTACAAAACTAACTTTGAATGTGCATAGAACATGGGTATACAGAGGTCAGTTTAAAAGGGGAAAACTAGGAAGGGCCATAAAAGAAGTGCTAAGCCTTTGTGGTTCATGAGAAATAACTATTCTCTAGTATAACTAAAAAGTTCTCAAATTGTCTCCTCACAGTTTATTTTATTAAATACTTACTGTATATTTTTTTATTATATGCTTATTGTATATTTTATTATTCTATTTAAACATAGAATAGTTTACTAAATTTCTTCCTTTGCTAAATACTTGACCCAAACTCTTTAGTTAGTAGAAAAAATGGTGAATTTTTTAAGACTTGGGGTTCTTTTATAGCATTTCAAAATATGTCTGTCAATATCTGTCTTAGCAGCACTCAAATCACAAGTAGGTAGGCAACATAAAGTTAAGTTATTCTTATAGCATCTTCTTTATACACTCAGTTAAAAATCTAAGCATACAGAACGGTGTTTTTGCATAATATATTTAAAGTACATATAAGGATAAAGTTATAATTTATTCAAGGAGAAAAAAGGATCATGTTCTATTTTTTTTAAGGAATTGCTAAGGAAACACTTACAGGAACACTTGCACTGTCATGTTATTCTTCCTGCATATTTAAAGATTTTATAAAACTCATTTTAGGTATGTTAGTCAAGAACCAGTGTGGGATTTTAGGGAACAACAGGCAGGAAAATGTCATGTTTTCCCATATCTGCCATGAAACAAGTACACCAGGATTGGAAATAGTGGAGCAGGAAGGGTGGAAATCAGACAACAGAAGGGGTTATGAAAGGGAGGGTGACTGAACTGCTGCCAGGTCACCATGGCACCACCGAGACACCAGGCAGGTGGGAAGTTCTGCAAAGTTCTGCCCCGGGGTGGCAAAAACCCCCGGTAAGGTTGGAAGGGATCACAGTGGGTCATCTGGTCCCACCTCCCTGCTCCAACAGGGTCATCCCAGAGCACATGGCACAGGATTGTCCCCAGACAGCTCTGGAATGTCTCCAGTGACGGATACTCCACACCCTCTCTGGGCGATCTGTTCAGTGTTCGGTCACTGCACAGCAAAGAAGTTCTTCCTTATGTTCAGGTGGAACTTCCTGGGCATCAGTTCCTGCCCGTGGCCTCTTGTGCCATTGCTGGGCACAACAGCGAAAACACCACAGGGCAGTCACAGAGACGGGGGAGACAAACTGCCAAGGACAGAACTAGGGGCAGTGTCCCCAGACTGTGATCTGGGACTTCAGAGAAAAAAGTTGTCTTTGGGAGGTTAGTTGGTGCAACATTGGAACAGGGCACCTGGAGACGTGGTCTCCATCCTGGGAGCTTTCCAAAGCCACAGCTGACCTGATCTAGGGTGGACAACGCCCCAGGTCATGTGGGAGGTTGGTTTGGACTCCCACAGGGCACTTCCAGCCAGAGCACCCATGGATCTGTAAGGCTGTGGCGCAGGGTCGAACCAGATCTTGGATTTGACATCTTCGTTCTTCTAAACAGGTGCCCTGATGATCAAGTCTGAGGGTGCTGGCTCAGTAATAATCACAGGGGTGAAGAGTGGACGTTACCTATGCATGGACATGAAAGGAAACATATTTGGCTCGGTGAGTGACCTCTGCTAAGCCTCAAGGCTGAAGGGCAGGTGCAGCCTGCTGCTGTGCTGCCCAGGCGGGGTAAACCTGTGTAGGTGCAGATTTAAGAGAGGATGTGCCACTTAGGTAATACTTTCCTTTCCTCTTTGATTGTACTGAGTTGTAGAGCTGACTAAAATCATCTGAGATGCTGCTTGGGTAAACGAGGTCAAAATGGGATGCAGTGATGGACCAGTCAGAATTCCTGATCTAGCACAGAGCCATGGGTTGGGACCCTCTGAAAGAAAACAATGTTATCATTAAAATACCTTTGCTGAAAACATGGGCACATATCTCAGATCTACTGAGTTGTCTCAGTTACAGACCTGGGAGATTAGAAAGCAAGATCTCATCCCTCTTTCCCTCTTCAACTTGTGCCAAATCCCTCTGCTCACAGGTGTCATGTTTTTTTCCCCTCAGCATTACTTCAGCCAAGAGGACTGTGTGTTCAACCACAGGACACTGGAGAACGGATACGATGTGTACCAGTCTCCCAAACACAACTTCCTGGTGAGCTTAGGCAGAGTTAAGCAAGCTTATTTCCCTGGCACAAACCCGCCACCATACTCCCAGTTTTTATCCAGGAGAAACGAAATCCCGTTGTTCCGCTTCAACACCCCCAAGCCCCACAGGAACACCAGGAGTGCAGACACGGACCCGATGGATCCTCACCAGGTCCTAGTCCCGCAGAGGAAGACCTCTGGGCTTGGCTCTCCCCTGCAACAGGAAGCAGACTTCTCTCACGTGCCCAGGGAACCCGTGAGGATCAACCAGAACGACGTGGTGAACCCCGATGACCCCCATGCCATGATGGACGCTCGGAGGTACCCGAGCCCCCGGTTCTACATCACCAGATAACTGTGACCCCGGCGCCTGCAAAGTGAGGACAGAGGCAAAGGGAACTAACTGTCTGACACACTCTCAGTCTGAATGTCCAATGGGAAACATCGGGAAAAGTTCCTTATATTTCAAATTTTGTACTTAGAGATGACACATTACTGACAAAGCAAGTTGAACTTTTCCAGCCGGAGCTCTGTGGACTGAAAAGATATATTTTTTAAAAGAATAATAGAAATCAAACCTTTTAGGATCCTAATCACCTTAAGTTTCCATCAATGAAGAAAAAAGAAATCCCTTGAATGAACTGAGAAACTGATATTATGTTGCTGATGTAACTGGGAAGAGACCTGGAGCATCTGACATTCCAACAGAGACAGGGAATCCTCTTATTGCACTGTCCCTGAGTGTTCAAAGACAGCAGACAAACTCTCTGGCAGAGTGCTATATATGTAATATATACATTATCTGAAGGGGCCTACAAGGAAGCCAGAGAAGGATTTTCCTTCTGAGTAAGTTCTTCATCAGGAACTGTAGTGACAGGACAAGGGGGAATGGCTTCAAACTGACAGAGAGGAGGTTTAGATTGGATATTAGGAAGGAATTCTTCCCTGGGAGGGTGGGGAGGCCCTTGGCACAGGTTGCCCAGAGAAGCTGTGGCTGCCCCATCCCTGGAAGTGTCGAAGGCCAGGTTGGATGGGGCTCTGAGCAACCTGGGCTAGTGGAAGGTGTCCCTGCCCATGGCAGGGGGTTGGAATGAGATGATCTTTAAGGTCCTCTCCAACCCAACCGTTCTATGTTTTTAGCTTTTAAGTTGGAGCTTCAGTCTCTTTTCATGCCCCTATGAGTCAAAAAATGACCACTCTGCTGTTATAAGAGCACCACACGTGGAAAACTAGTAAATGACAGAAGGACAGGACAGGATTAAATGGTCTTGTGTAAACAGAGCAATTATGGACACTTTCTGAATCAAAGCTGAGGTTTGGGAAAAAAGGAGTCTCACTGTCTGTCAAGTGCTTTTCTGTCACAGTTCTACATTCACTGAATTCTGGCATCATAATGTGGAAAAGTAATGTAAAGATCACTAGTTTTGCATCTTTTTAACCTAGAGAGAAGTACTAGGATTACTAATAATCAATAGTGTGTGTCAAGATGGTTTGTTTTGCATACTGCTGAACTACACAGGGGGAAAAAAATCCAAACATTTATGCCTCGTAAGTGTCAAACTGTTAATAGTTTGACTATAATGAAGACTCTCATCTAATGAATGAAAATTAGGTATGTGTTTAGAAAGGAGCATCTAATTAGCATCCATAATTCTATTCAGTTCTGAGCAGATATTAGATGCTTTATATTTGTAAGAGTGAAATTACCATTAATCAAGAGATCTCTCATTTACAGAACTTTTTCCCTAGATTGATGTATGTTATGGATAACTTTACTTTGAAAGTTATTTGTGATGCAACTCTGCAGAAATCCATTCACTGGAGTTACATCAGTGCAACAAAATCAAAATAAGGCCCCTCGTGTTTTTCTGTGTTCATTGGACTTTTTCTGGATTTAGCACAGGGTCTGTCCTGCTGACAGCATTTAAATAATCTCTTTTTCTCTCCCTATATATGTATAAATACATGATATCTCTTTATCTATAACATTCAACTCATGTTAGAAAAGTCACAGGTCCTGATACTGCTCTTAGAATAGTTTTCCTACCTAGAGTGATTCCTAATTCATGTAAATTCTAGGGAGCACAGGACAAGCCAAATGATTAGGATTAGACCAAGAGTTCTGTCAAATCATTTATTTTTCTAAACTCATCATGGTTTTGATTAATTTCTGAATGAAATGAGTGATTCTAAGGAATTCAGGAGAATTGCAGGTGGGTGGAGAGTTGTTTTTCTTGCTTATTCAAAATGCAGCAAGACTTTTTACCTTGCTGTCTGTTGTACAGTGGAGAGGTGTGATTTTATTTAATAACTTCACTTGATTTCTGTTCTTGGCTTTTGCTCCTTGAAAACTCTGGACTTCAAGTACAACTGCAAAGTTTGCCTTTTGCATAAATTGTTGGAAGCTCCACAGGCTCTCTGGGACTCCAAGACAATGGACCTACAACAATTTGAATCTCTGTCCATATCAAACTTTGATGAGAAATGTGGGGTTTAATCTCTATACCATCTCTATATTCATACCTTAGAACAAAGTAAGCAGGTTGCTCACTCTCTTAGTAGCCAGGGGATTTAGTGCCTAAGCTAAGACTGAATACACAGTGGATTTTGCATTAAAAAAATGTATTTGTAGCTATAGACAACTGTATCAAAATATCAAAAGAATTAATTCTTCAATGGAAATGCTGGCAATCACCAGCTGGTAAGAAAGCATTAATATTTATGTTGCAATATTTATTTATTTATTTGTGTGGGTCTTAAATCCCACAGAATATTTATAAATATTTATAATAATGTATAATAGAGACTATTTCCTTTTATAAAAGCACCAATAAACTTTTCATTTTCTCCAAATGGTGGATTCTGCATTGTCTGCCTAAATCCCCCATTCCAGAAGGATTTGAGTAGCAGGTATGTCTGAAAATGTTTGTGTCCCCCTATCCCATGAGTTCCAGCCTCACAGGTTGCAGCTCCCTGGCTGTTTCAGGGACCACAAGTATAAAAGTTTTGTGAAAGATGATGAGAAAAACAATGTCTTAGTAGGTCTAGACTGACCATGAGGGATTGTCACCTCTACTGGGAATTCTGCAATGCAAAAGCAGTGGAAAACCACTGGTCTGGCAGTTCAGTCCTGTTAGGAAATATTTGTGAACCTGGCTCCAAGATCTTAGGGTAAAAGATACTTGGTAAATTAAAAGTATCTGAAGGGAGGGGGCAGAGGATGGACCAGGCTCTGCTCGGGGGGCCCAACAATGGGACAAGAGGCCACGGGCAGGAACTGATGCCCAGGAAGTTCCACCTGAACATGAGGAAGAACTTCTTTGCTGTGCAGTGACCGAGCACTGAACAGATTGCCCAGAGAGGGTGAGGAGTCTCCCTCACTGGGGATATTCCAGAACCATCTGGACGCAATCCTGTGCCATGTGCATCGGGATGGCCCTGTTGGAGCAGGGAGGTGGGACCAGATGCCCCACTGTGGTCCCTTCCAACCTGACCCAGTCTGTGATTCAGAGAAGACTCAAGAAGTAGCAAGACTGGCAAGTTAACTAAATTTAACTTCCATTTCTATGACTTTTTTGGTGCTTTATTAAGTAGGTCTGCCCTTCTTCAGCCCTACTCTGAGCATTTAAATGAGATACAGGGCTTGTACCATTCGTGTGCCCAAAAGTGAACTTCACTCCTGCCTGTGAGCGTTCAGGGTAAGCACCAAGCTTAGGAAGGAGGTCAATGTTACCTCAAGTTATTCTCCTCTTCTGTTGTTTCAACAATTTTCTTCCAGCTCATAGGGGGAATTCTTGTCATTGGGATTGAAGAGCCTGAGCTGGCAATAGGTAATTTCAAGACATGTCTTTGATTTCACTCCTCAAATTCACCATTTCCTCCTCTACATGTTATTCTGCCCCACACACTTATTGATGATGCTTTCTCATGAACATTTCCACATTCTTAATTTTATTCAAAGTTTTTATTACAAAAAAAAAAATCCATGAGGAACTTAAATACTGATTTTACTCAAGCTCAGTGCTTCACCTTGGACATTACTACTTACTCCTGTGCCCAATAACTGCTTGCATGCCTACTTCACCTTTTTTTATCTCCTAAGTAACACTTACCTTTTCCAGTTAAGCTTGTGGCATCGTGTCAAATGTTGAATTAAAATTCACCATCATTTTTCCCTTGCCTATACATGTTATTTCATCAAAGAACCACTCACGTAAGTATGAACTACTTATGGTAAAAACTCAATTATATTCCAGGTTTCATTTACCCCTCTTGTCTGTAATTACATTCTCCCTCAGAATTTATTCAGCCCTGAGTGTTATCAAGGTCAAACTGGCAGTCCTGTAAGATTGCTTTGTCCTCCCTTCTCAAATAAAAATTACTTTATTTCCCATTCTCTAGTTACATGGTTCCACATCCAGTTGGACAGATCTGTTTAAAATATTTGCTTAAAGATGTGTAATTTTAGATGTGCTTTATTCTGGGATAAAGATTAGTGATTTCATCTGACACGAGCATACTAAATTCTTTAATTCTTGGCTTTCAAAGGGAAGAGGAGGGGCAAGCACTGATCTCTGCTCTGTGGTGACCAGTGACAGACCCAAGGGAATGGCTGGAGCTGTGTCAGGGGAGGTTTAGGTTGGATATCAGGAAAAGGTTCTTCCCCCCGAGGGTGGTTGGGCACTGAACAGGCTCCCCAGGGCAGTGGGCACAGCACCAAGGCTGACAGAGCTCCAGGAGTGTTTGGACAACACTCTCAGGCACATGGTGTGATTCTTGGGGTGTCCTGTGCAGGGCCAGGAGTTGGACTTCCATGATCCTTGTGGGTCCCTTCCCGCTGAGGACATTCTGCTATTCTATGGTTATAAAACTTTTGTGATTCTTAAGTATACTTGACATCACTAAACCAATTTTACGATTCTTGTCCTTCTGAAATCAAACCTTCTTTTTTTACCTCAACTTTAAGCTCAAGTAAATTAACTTTTTAAGATATATTCCAAAATATATTCAGGATTTATTACAGTCAAGTCTGTTGCATCACCCCTCTTCTGTTCAGCTATGGATGGATCAGCCAACTGGGCACCACAAGGAAAGAATTACATCCAAAGGGGTTCTGCCTGGACCTCAAGTGCATTCCTTTGGTGACTGGTAACACCCTACTCATGATTTGTGGTTTTTATGCCAGTATCTTCCTGTGCCATATCCTCTGATTGTGCTCTCAGGAGCTTCTGGCATTCAGGTGAGGCATCCATAGTCCCACAGGGTCCCTGCATGCCAGGAATCCAAGAGCTGTTTGCAAGTGACAGCAGAGCTATCTCAGCTCAGGAGACCTTCCTGAACAGCACTGGATTTACCCCACATGCACAGATCCTCCATATCCATGGATGTCGGAAAAGCAGCTCACACACTGTGCCCATGAAGCTGCCATTTGCCTTGGGATCACTATATATCCAAAAACCTCAGGCTCACGGCCAAAGCCCTCAAAAGAGGGACACATCTGGGGGAAATCTGACATATTTTACGTCCAGGCATGTGGGCTGTGGATCTGAGGCAGCCAAAAGCTTAGATAGAGAATGCATCTGATCTAAATTATGTTCTGAAGGAAAAAAGAAAGAAACCCCCTCCAAAACTCCTCCTATTGCAAAGACAGGGCTATGTCTGGAAAACAGTCCCTAACAGAGAACTGTGGGAATGAAGCAGATATCTTTATTTTAGAGGAAGGAAACTGTGATAGTACCAGAGCTCTCTGCCAAAGCACTCCCCTGATGGCTGCTGGAGGTTAGACCTGTGAGATGATGGTGGTGGAGCAACACTAAGGAACAGGAGCTGCCATGTGCTTTAAACTGCTCTTTTTCTCTCCTGTCACCTTTTCCAAATTAAGCCTGGTCTGATAAAGCACCGGCTAAACATGAACAACTTCATCAAAGGAGGCCACAACTCCCCTACCT